TATCACTGCAAACACTCGAGTTTCAATCAGGAAAATTGATTTTATCTTTATGGTGGCAAACATTCCCGCACGCGCGTATATTGTTTAATTTATTTTGCATTCAATTATACGAATGACGGAATTTGATAAAACGCGACTGATGCACTCAATTTTGAAACACGTTTCGCGCTTTCGTTCAGATTTGTCTTATATTTTCATATATCATACCCTATTTTATATATTATAATATAGTCCGACATTTGTGATATGTATATGTTAGACTTGTTAATTTAATTCTTAATCGTGACAATTTAATTATTAATTATCTAATCAGTATTCTTGATTGAATTATCGTTGAACCTGTTTGGAAATCGTGGCAATTTAGAATTACGCTACTTTTAAAACTCGTCAGTTTTTCTAACTAACGATTCAGAGTTGCATTTCCTGGTTTCACGATCTTTTCATTTCTTCACTTTAATTTAATTTCAGTTATTTTTCACTTTAATGAAACAAAAAAATTTAACCTTCAGCCGGATTCGTTTCAGCTCTGGAATTTTCGAATCTTCGCTCACTTTCGAATCTTCAGAGTTTCTCGCCTGGTCTACAGGATATTTTTCTGATCGACGAGGAAACGCGAGAGGGCGATGACATTCGCCGAAGAACGGCAGACGGGTTCACCGGAGAAGATTGGAACGAAACTGTGCCAGAAATTTAACGCCGGCCAGACCGGTTAGAAAACCAAGGGAAAACTCGGGATTTCGCATAATGAATGAATTTACATAACCCCAATTAAACGGGAATCGGCCGAATGCAAAGCAGCTGCGAAAGTATTTGCCTCGCCGTTTAAAGAAGTTTCATCTGGCCTCGCTTAGATCCCGCCAGCGAATTACGCTCCGGTGAAGGAAATTCGGAGTAATGCAATTTCAAAAGCACATTCGACGATACGTGTTTTGCGTGTTTGCGTGTATAGTTCCGCGCGTAAGCATTTGGACACTTTTAAATTATTGCAGAGTCAATCAAAATACGATTAAAATGAATCTCTTTATAACTTGATGTTGGTATCGATAGAGAGAATAAATATAACGAATAAATATAATAGTAATTACTATGGTTAATATCGTGTAGATGTAATGGTAATATAACAATATAATTGTTTTACTAAAAATTGTTGATTATATTAATCATCGATAGAAAAAATTAATATAATAAATACAATAATTACTATATAATATTATTATAGTGTATTACAACAATTATTGCATAAATATAATGGTACCATAATAATATAATTATTTTACTAAAAATTGTTGATTATATTAATCATCGATAGAAAAAATAAATATAATAAATACAATAATTACTATATAATATTATTATAGTGTATTACAACAATTATTGCATAAATATAATGGTACCATAATAATATAATTATTTTACTAAAAATTGTTGATTATATTAATCATCGATAGAAAAAATTAATATAATAAATACAATAATTACTATATAATATTATTATAGTGTATTACAACAATTATTGCATAAATATAATGGTACCATAATAATATAATTATTTTACTAAAAATTGTTGATTATATTAATCATCGATAGAAAAAATTAATATAATAAATACAATAATTACTATGTAATATTATTATAGTATATTACGAAAATTATTGCATAAATATAATGGTAGTATAATAATATAATTATTTTACTAAAAATTGTTGATTATATTACTCATCGATAGAAAAAATTAATATAATTAGTATATATAATAAATAGAATAATTAGTATATAATATTATTATATTGTATTACGACAATTATTGCATAAGTATGGTACTATAATAATATAATTATTTTACTAAAAATTATTAATAATACGATACAAATTATTAATTATATTAATTATCGATAGAAAGCGCGAATAAATATAATGGTAATGTAACAATTATATCATACAGTAATATTGCTACATTATGTTACGATAATTATAACATAAATATAACAATATAATTATTTTACAAAAAATTATTAATAATATAATACAAATTACTTATTATATTAATTATATATATTATAGTATAATGTAATATCATAATACAATTATATATATATGCAATATTATATTATAATATGCACATAAATTATGTTTATATTAATTATTATATTACATTATTGACAGTAAAATAATGCAATGCAACAACAATGAAAGGAATAAATAAATACAATAATGTAATAATTGGGCAGAGTGAAACGTTGATTCATGTCTCGCCATTGCAATGAAAAAAAAGAGAAAAACACGTGTTCCTAGCCGGATCGAAAGGTTTTCACGCGCATTTTACGAAATGGCCAGCTGTTTATTCGAAGTAGACACGAAATTTGAGAATTTGAAACTCAGAGAAGCATTCTGAACTCTCATTGAAAGCTATCTTTCAATGAAATTGCACCTGTGTGCGGACCATTTTGCAATATTATTTCTGCACGATATGGCGCGCGTACGAGAAAAAAAAAAAAAGTGTTATTCGTTACGAATGGCTGAGTCGTCGATGAGAATCGAGCGGTACAGCGAGGAAAGGCTTAACGGCTTCTCGTTCCGTATTTAGAAGAATGTGTAATCGAGTTCCGGTCACGCAGTGCGTACCGTTCGATGCACTCGCAGGGATCCTAAATTCGTTTGCGCGGTCACACGCACACATACGATACAATACACACGCGCGTACTGTATTTTAATTTGTCTATTATTCGCGTTGCTGCCAGAATACGGAATAACGAATGCCTCGTACGTGAAACTGGCAGCGAAGCTTACGAAAAATATTCGTGTTAACAGTGGCTTTACGTCCCGTTTCCGATGGAATTGCTTCGCTGAAAAATTTCATTTCATACCTCAGTTATTT